TATAAACGGCTGTGAGTTACCTCGCTTTTATTATTTTTATTTGCGTATGCGGCCCCTTTTGCAAATGAACGCTATTAGGTAAAATTTATACATCCTAGTCCATCGCATTTAAAGATTAAATTATAATTTTTGTTGTCATATATTGTTTAACAAAAATGGTTAACAAATGCGTTACATTTGGCTGTTCTAGTGAATATGTTGCTAACAATGAAAAAATTTTCCTCTTGGAAAATTCGACCTCGTAGAAAAATGATTAAAATTCATTAATCGTATTCATTGGTTTCCCACGAAGAATTCAGTTCTCTGCATGAAACATTTTGAAGAGAAATTTATTTTGAAAGGAAAACGAAACAAACTGAATTGGAATTTACATCCAATACCTAAAATACATTCAGATTTTACTCAATTGGAAGAAGCAAAGTGTTCTCCTAACGATTTTGAATTAAAAAGGAAGATTATATTCAAATTTATAGAATAGTCTTTGACCTGAAACACATTTTCAATCTATAAAAGAATGTATTCGCATTGACCAAAACCTTCACGTCCAGCTCCAGTGCGATGGAACCCCTATACAGTTACCACAGCGGTTTATACATGGACATAATGATAAACTCACAAGATTTAGCATGTTAGAAAATGTTCCAAGCTACATACAAAACGTGGTGGAAGAACAACCATATTCAATTCTAAAAGAATTACAAAAAAGCCAACATTACCAACCAAGAGGTCGTCCTTCATTTTCTCTAGAACTAATACGTTATGCCTTCTTACTATACGTCTCAATAAGCTCACAAATTTCCATTACCATCTTTTTCTTTATTAGAGAAAATTCAAAAAACTAATGAAACGTTTACAATATGAAATGTGTTCCCTGGTCATGGTAGGCAATGATAGTGATGATGCTACAGAGAAGCAGTACTTTTACTTACTTTCTCGAATTTCACGGTTCCACCTAGCCAAATAGCAGAGTTCGTTTGTGCTTGTTTTGCTACACTTGTCTATGCACATAAATTCATTGTAAACTATAATGAATCCACTACAAGAAAATCGGCTGAAAGAATTTTGAAAACTTATTCTCTGAAATATGTTTTTACTTGTGAGCAACACACTGAAAAAGGAATTCACTTTGCCTCAAAATTGTCAATATATTTTACAACATCAAACGAAAGTTTTCATTGGATGAAATTCGAAAAAATATTATAGAATGTTTTTAAAAAAGGCAAAGGTCAAAGAAAATTGATTTATAGAGAAACTGATGGTAAGTTTGTTTTTTTTACTTGTAATCCTTTTTTGTTTGTTTACAATCTTTTATTATTACTTTTAAAGAGAAAAAATACCTAACCTGTTTGTGTATTTTTGGACGGTTTTAACATTGTTTAGGTAAAACAGACATAAATAGACTATAAACCAAATAGGCTTGTTAGAAATGTGACATTTGAGGCCGTGTATATTAGTGAGTCATGGTTCCTTCTCTCTAAGCAGTTTTGCACACACTCAAATAAAATTTGGCTTTCAGTGATGACTTTTTATGGTTTTATTAACAGTTTTTCAGTAGTGTTAAACTGTTCATCCAGAATCCTTCGATAATAATTGTGCAACGCTTTGGATATATGTGCCTTCATCAAAAATAAAGTCAACCACAGAAACAACTTACTGGTGTTGATCAGCTTGTCTGATACATTTTCAGCTTGACTACCGTTTACTGGGCCCACGTTCCTGGAGGAAGACGATACTTTCAATAAAACAGTTGACTAAATGGAATTGATAGACACACGTACAGTGATGTTAATGGCGGCAGCAAAGAATGAAGTCAAAGAAAACCAAAGAACAACAATTGATAATTTTAATAAGATAACCTCGCCTATTGGACTAAATCCGCCTTCAGTTATCAATTATAATTCAACCTAATTACAATTAGAATTAATGGTAGATAAAATAGTAGGAATAGTTCACTTATTGTTATGATCTGATTAACCAATGAGGCCTGAGACATAGTTGTTAAGATATTATTATTAGATTATATCACTATTTTAGTTAATTAGGTTTTATTCCATTGAGTCATCTGTTTTATTTAATAGATTGTCTATCAGCAGGACGTTTATAACGAAATGCAGAATTGGCGTCATAAAGGAGGGCTTGGAGAATCTGATACTCACAGGTCGAATAGAGGGAAAGTGAGACAAGGGAATGCAACGCATGACATACCTGGTGGGCTTAATCAAGCGGATGACAGAATGTGGTCTGGGGGAGGTGGCAAACGGATGAAACATACTACAAGCTACGAACTACAAGGGATGGGAGGGGGGAAGTGGAGAACTATGATCGCCTACATCCTGAAGGGACATGGGCACATAAAAAGAAAAAAAAAGAAGGAAATGGAGTACAAAGTAACTAGACCACTAAATGGAGTACACACAAGTACCTAGATCCCTAGATGGAGTAGAGACAAGTAACTATATCTCTAGATACAGTACACACAAGTACCCATATCCCTAGATGGAGTACACACAAGTACCTAGATTCCTAGATGGAGTACACACAAGTATCTAGATCCCTAGATGGAGTACACGCAAATACCTCTATCCCTAGATGGAGTACACACAAGTATCTTGATCCCTAGATGGAGTACACATAAATACCTAAATCCTAAGATGAAGTACAGGCAAGTACCTAAATACTCTACACCAGTTTACACTCTGACGATGATTGGGCATTGACATCGGTACAATGTCGGACGTAGCGATCCAGGTGCCTGTGGTAGGACATAACGTGATCTGTCGATTTCATAGGAAGTGAGTTTCCTGATAACTTAGGTTCGCTACTAAATATATGTGGTTTTCTTTTTGTTTTCTTCGTTCCTGTTTTGAATAGATTACTATTTTGGGCAACATCAAAATTGTTTTGATTAGAAATGCCGATGAAAATTTCACAGTTTTCCTATTTCCATTTTATGATAAAAATTAATTCTTAAGTTAATGATCAAATAAACTCCTTGCAAGTTTCACAACTATAAAATACACGTGGAAATTATCGCTTTACATTTTTGGATTTAACAACTTTAACAAACTATTGTAATAGTAATAATAAACACGAATGCAGGTTATTATTTGCAGAAGTAAGAGGGTACAAATGAAAAGATCTAAAATTGACAAATTTTCCATTTCACTGGAGCAGACGTTAAATACATGAAAGTATTATAGCCTTTTTTTTCTTTTTTCCTTCTTTCTTTCTTTCTTTCTTTCTTTCTTTCTTTCTTTCTTTCTTTCTTTCTTTCGTTCCTTTTTCTTCCCTAAAACCATACGGCGCTTTTGGTATATCTTAGGACGAACGTCATAACAAAGAAGATATATCTTCTGGGGGATACCTTCTGACATGTACCAGGTATTTATATATATATATATATATATATATATATATATATATATATATATATATGAGAGAGAGAGAGAGAGAGAGAGAGTGTGTGTGTGTGTGTGTGTATTTGAGCAGCAATCCCTCTTTTATACAATTTTCATTAAAAACGACTGGATACAAAGTGTGTAAAAACTGTCCAAAAGTTCAAAATATCCAAGCCCTCTCCGCTATTGTTTTAGTCATTATTAAGGTGTGTGTGTGTGTGTGTGTGTGTGTGTGTGTGTGTGTGTGTGTGTGTGTGTGTGTGTGTGTGTGTGTAGTTTGGGAAAAGTTTGGGGCCAGTCTCTGGATTTTGAAGAATCAACAAAAATTTGAAGATTTTTTCAAAATTAATCTCCTATCTCACTTCATGGCATAACGACTTTCTCTTCTTGACGGATTTCATCATATATTCAATAATAATAATAAACAGGGCAGGCGGATTTTAAATTTTATGTACCCCACCCCGCCACATCGCTGTAAAAAAAAATGGACGCTATGCTCTAATGGGTTAAATAGCTTCACCATCCTAGCTTAGAAGTTAGTTAAACCAACGAATGAAACTTAGTACTTATTAAATCCAGAGTATTTCCCAAAATTTTTGCCCCATCGTGCACGCACGCACACACAGACGCGTGTGTAGCGCACACACACACACACACACACACACACACACACACACACACACACACACACACACACACACACACACACACAAGCTTTCAGGATTATATACTAGATATAGTGTTCCAATTGCTATTCATTCAGAGCAGAAAGAAAAGTAAATTGATTTCCCCCAGTTTTTTCTACGACCTTCGCTCACAAAACAACGTCTGTCTTTTCTGCTTTCTGAGTGACTCGCCTATCCTTAATTTTTGATTTTATTAACGCAAAAACCTGCCGATCTTGACAAGCACGTAAAGAAAGAATAATTTATTTGAGAAAATATTTGGCTTCTCACATATCAGACTGAACTTTAAGAAGAAGAAAAAAAAACAGGAGGAGGAATTGATTAAGATCAACTTTTTTTAAATATTTGAATAAAAATATGGTGGCCCAGTGAAAATTGATGCGTTTTTTAAAAATATAAAATATTTATGTTTAATGAGAAATTCATCATTATCTTTTACTTCTAACGACTCACAAACTTCATAATACCTATTTTATATCAAAATTCCTTTTTCTTTTCTTTTTTTTTTTTTTTTTGAGGGAAGGAAAAGGATGAAGTGAAGTTAGTTCCCAAAACAAGGATACTAAGAAAAATCGGTCTTGAAAAATTAGGTTGTTTTAGAAAATTCGGTCATGCAACATTTCGTCCTCAAATTTACGAGTATTGAAAGTATAGTAATTAATGGAAGGCCGTAACGGAAATATTTTTGGCAAACAAAAACTGAAATTAAATAACAATAACAAATGGAAAACAATTATATCATGTTTAGTTTCATGCAAATCATTTCCATCATAGTTTATGATCATATTACGTTGAAATTTGTTCTCGGACTATCACTGAAGTTAAGCAACATCGAGCCTGGTCTCAGAACTTAGATGAGTGACCGACTGGGAATACCAGGTGTTGTAAGCCTGAATGTGTTGGTGATATAAAGTGCTTACAGCCATATCACGTTGAAACTCCGATTCTCGTACGCACACTGAAGTAAAGCAACGTCGAGCCTGGTCAGAACCTAGATGAGTGACCGCTTGGGAATACCAGCTATGGGTTAATCGGTATACTGGTATCAGTAAATTATTATTATTATTATTATTATTATTCCAAAAGAAATTCTGGCTTTAAATAACCTGCAAATGGTTGATAAGACGTAAAAAACAGATGACGGTTATTTAAAGGGAGAAAATATTTTTAGATTATAATTTTTTTTTAGATAATAATAGTTTAATGATACAAGTCTTACTAATTAAGCCATGGCTGGAGGAGAAAATGTAGATTTTTACCTTTCCGAAGGGTATTTGCTTGTAAGTGAATATAATGAACCTAACAGGAATTGGAACACGGCTCTACAATTAACAATTCGTAGCTATTATCCGCTGCACATCCAAGCTTACAGATCCTGGTATTCCAAAGCGATCACCCGTCCAGGTACTGACCAGATTCGACGTTGCGTAACTTCGGTGATCAGTGTTTCAACGTGATGTGACCGTAAGCCAGTATACAACAGAAATCAAAGGAAATAATAAGTCGACTAATATCTGCACTGGAAAATATGAAACTTTTACGAAAATGAAACAGCAAGAAATTTGTATGAACAGCACCTACACCCAGTTACGGAGCTGTAATAATTTTATGGGACTTTACAATACACACAGACAGAACAATCTAATCACCCTGATATAGTGATCAAAGACCACAAAAACAGAATGTGTTTTCTTATTGACGCAACAGTTCCTAAAGATTGTAATGTATCTTTGCAGATCTTCAAAAGAAATCTCAAAAATGTGGCACATGAGGACGTCAATAATTCCAGTTGCAGTTGAAGCCCTCTGATTGGAAAATGTTCCGATAAACTCATTGAATGAATTCCTGGTAGCCCATCCTTAAAGATCACATCTTACGAAAGGCTTTATTTATGTAAAGTGTGTGTGATCTTAGGTTGTTTATTTATTTATTTATTTCTACTTTTTTAAGTTTTTTTTTTTTTTTTTTTTTTTTTTTTACAAAAATTTTCAGTGGAAAATGATACGATGCTATTTCTGACCTTAGGTCTCTGGTTGGGGCCCGGAAGGAAATGTCTATACAACAGAAATCAAAAGTAATAATAATAATAATAATAACAGGATGTGGGGAATGAAGACTGAGACTGTACTAATAATTATCAGAGATCTGGGTCTCGTGAGAAATAGAATAGACATTTTTACTAACAGTGTCCCAGGTAACATAAATATAAAGTTGCCCAGAAAATCGCCCTACTAGTAACATCCTATATACTAAGAAAAGTGCTATCAATTAAGTGACAATTTTCCGATAAGGCCTAAGGACCATAGTTTAGACCAGTCTGTTATGGGCGCGTGTTCTTTAGCGCATATAACTTTTGCATTATTAATGATTCAAGAAAACAACGAAACTCCAAATGTGAATCAACAAGTATATATTGAAATAACATACAAGAACAAAATATACAATAATTTGTATTCAGTGAATAGATTAAGGGAAAAGAAGTTGCTCCCCTTTTACCGTATTTTGATTTGTAATTGATTGTTCGAAAGAAAGTTCAAGTCTTGAGAAAGAAATGTTCAGGAATCAATGTTAGAACAAGTCTGCTGTTAGAATAGATAACACAAGAATACAATACGATCAGAAAGTGTGTTGTGTTAGAGAAATCAACAGAGTCCTGGTTGATTGAACTTGGCTGAGTCACAGAGAGATATGTATATATGTATTACAAAATTCTGTGTGTGCGTTTGAAATGTTGTGAGTAAAGTCATAGGTTTGTGTTGACAGACGAAATTTAGTGGACTCTACTGGCGGCTTGTGAAAAAGTCACCTCTTTTAAGCTACAGATAGGCTCGCAGCGAAACCGCGGGAAAAGTTGATTTTGCACTAAAATATGTGATCGGTTAAAAATTGACCAATTGCTAAATTTGTACTAACGAAACAAGTAAGCAAGTTCAAAACCGAAAAATTCAAAGCAACGACTGCGATGGCTAAATTGACGAATAAAATGTGGGCGTGGAAAAACATAGCAGTCGCTACAAGTCTCTACAGGATACAAAGCAGGAAACATAACATATACAAATAATAACAACAAAAACAACAATTTAAAGAAACCCTGAGGAAAATTAATTCCGATACTTTCCTTATAGACATAATATTGATAATAGAATCCTTTTCCTTAATATTCTTGTTGACTCTAACAGTAATGATTTTACTGATTTACTATAAAATCCAGACTAAAATTGTTGCTTACTCATTTACCAAAATGACTATGATCAGAGATAGGTGCGAGTGAAGCTAGGTCGGGGTTTATAGCATATGCTATAAAGGGCTTCTCAAATACATATAAATATTAAATCGTAAATAATTTACTAGCATAATCATAGAGCTTATAAAAGAGGTAAATATTTAATTTCTATCGACATATCAAACAAATCGGGAATAATCGAAGGCATATGGTTCTACCGGCCTCGATATGATGTTATCTGAACTGATAAAGGATTAAAGATGAAGCATTTCAAATTTGAAAATTGGTATAGCTAAAGATGCCTCCCAAAAGCTAAGCAGAGTATTAAGAAACATAAAGATGTCGTTAGAAACAAAGAAAATAGTACTGAACTATTACGTGATATCAGTCCCACTATGGGGCAGTGAATGCTGGACAATCCACTGTAGAAGAGACTTGAAGCAAGAAAAATGTGGTTCTACAGAAGGATACTGAGGATTGAATATGGGAGCAACGACGAAGTTTTAGAGAAAATGGAAACAAAAAGGAAACATACATAACATCAGGAAGAGACAGTTGAAGTGTCTAGGGCACATAATGAAGAAAGAGGGCTTGGGAAATGTGATACTCACAGGATAGATTGAAGGCGGGAAGGACAGAGGAAAACATCGCATAACATATTCAGTTAGCTTGACTGAATGGATGGTAGGGGCCGGATTTAGGGGAAATAACAAAAAATAACATTTATTAAGAGCTACGAAGGACAAGGAGTTGTGAATAGCCATGATCGCACCACGGTCTGAGTGGTCACGGCACATTAAGAAGATGAATGCAAGGTCCTTGAAAATGCCACGCCCGTAGCATTTGATACTATTTCTAACAAAGAGGACTATTGAAGAAAACTAGTATTTCTTTAGTATATATTTTTAACACGTCTTATTCGTTGTAATCAAGGTTCATATGTGTGAATTAATTTTTTTTTATTCTAAATGCCATATCTCTTTAGAAAGTAGATGATCATGGCTCTCCACATGTTCTTTTAGTTTATTATTTGAGAAAGATGGTGGAGTTGTTTCCCATTGCCTACTCCATGATTTTGAATTTAGAACAGTCGTTCTCTTTATTTTTTTTTCTGGGATACATAATGAGGAAAGAGGGTTTGGAAAATTAGATGCTCACAGGACATACTGATACCAAGAGGAAAACATCGAGTAATCTTCCTAACGGGTTTGTGTGAATGGATGGTAGAACTGGGAACTGGAAAAAATAGAAAAAGACAACCATTTCTAAGAGCTTCAACGGTTAAGAAGTTGTGGAGGACCATGATCGCTCACCTCAAAAAGAAATGATGAGCTTTCAAAGTTCTATCTAGCTAATCTGCCAACCCTGAAAGTTAAGCTAACATTTCCTGTGTCTCACCAGAAATTTCACACAGCTCCCCAAATCATTCAACTGGGAAATGAAGAATGTCATTTTATTTTTTAAATCATTTCATGCCAAGGAAGGCGATAAAGCCACTAAGACGGAAGGAATTACTGGGAGTGGAAGACAATGAGAAGATTTTAGTGGGAAGAAAGGAACAGGGTTCAGAAAGATAGAAGATGGCGATTGACGATGCATTTACTTTTTTAAAGATCTTCTTGTAATATCAGGAAGAGAATAATGAGAAACAAGGGCTTGGAAAATATGATACTCACAGGACAGATTGAAGGCAAGAGGGACAAAGGAAAACAATGTAGAACCTACCTAGCGACCTTGTGTAAATAGATGGCGCAACAATGTTTAGGGGAAAGAACAAAAAGACGAAATTTATTAGGAGCTTTTTTTTTTAAGCATTTCACGCCAAGCAATGAGAGAGTGCCACTAGCATGCAAGAGGTTACAGAGAGTGGGAGCAAGAGTCAAGAGGTGTGGTAGATGAAAGGATGAAGAGGAGGGCGGGGAAATAGTTCAAGGCATGTGAAGATGTCGATTGACATTGCATTTGAATAATTGAAGACTATAGCTATCAGGGAAGCAAGTAATAGGAAGAGAGTTCCACACACGGAAAATGCGAGACATGAAGCTATTGGAGTAGAAGAGATGGCTACATTTAGCAGTTTCAACTGTGAAAGGGTGGGACTGAGATGCCAACCTAGTAGCACGCTTAAATTCATGCAGTTTGGGAGCCAGCGAAAGTAGCTCGTCGGAGCAGTTATTGTGAAAGTATTTGTAGAAAAGTCAGAGGGAAGAGACGGCACGTCTGTGATAAAGTGACTGTAGACGTGATGCCAGATAAGGACTAATCACATTGCATATTCGTCTCTGGATTTGTTAAGCCATGATCGCCAATGAAGAGACACTGCACATAGACGAAGAAGAAGATGATGATGATAATGGTGATCATCATGATCATTGATAAGGAAGCAAGAAATCAAAACAGAGCTCCACAGGTGAGAAGTGGAAGAAAAGAAACTTTTAGAATAGAACTAGCAGCATGGCCCGGCGTTGCCCGGGCTTGATTCAAAAATCGTACGACTCATACAGCAATCGCTATCACTTGACTTAAAATATTTTTGCCCTTCCTTGCCTTTAAAGGAGTGCCCTTTGCCGTGCTGATGTTGCTACATGCCTTACTTCTTGCCTATCTCACACTGCGAATTTTTTCTAAGCTCTATACTAAACATTAAATCTGTTACGAAAAAAGAACTAAACAAAATAAACACAAAACGATCAGCTTTAAAAAAAAAAAAAAAAGACTCGTAACTGGAAAAACCGAATGAAAAAAGAATGTTAACAACAAATACGTTTTCACACCCAACCCAGTTCTCCGGAATCAG